GTAAAGTTCGAAATGCAATTTATCCACGCTATCATCTGTCAAACCTGCGATCGCATATTTATTTCTCATTAAAGATTCTTCTGGAACATATTGTCGCCATATAAATTCAACTTCGACTGTGACATCTTTAATTAATTTTAAAATTTGATTCCATTGCTCTTCGACCGATTTCCTTCTCCATAATTCAAGATTTTGTACAGGGGAAATATGAATATAATCATTTTCATCGAGTAGCAAAATTGCTATACGGTACGTAGGGATTTCAGGAGTTGTCACAAAACGTGTCATCGTCAATGTTGAGAGAAGAAAAGGTGTATTTGAAAAAACATTGTAATGTTCAGGATATTTTATAGCAATGGTAAATTTAGCTTTTATTCCCGGTTCGTCCCAACATGGAAAGAGACGTCGCATTCCTATCACTGAGTTACTTGTTGCGATAAGCCATCTAAAATATTTAATTAATTTTATTAGTTTATTAGTAATTTTATTATTATGAAATGAGATAATTTCTTATTTTTTCAATAGCATTGGAAATTAATACAGAAACTGAGGAGAGAGCAAATACGTTTTAATAAAAACATTTCTTATATGTTATCAGTATAAGACAAGCCCTTTCCTCCTATTACTTTCTTACAGTTTTATATACTTATTTTATTATGCACCTACATCTATAGATCATGAATAAATATTGAGAGATTCGAATTAAAAATTTTGTTTTATATATACGCGGACAATATTTATAAAGAACTTATTTAAGTTAACATTTCTTTAAGAAAGGAAACAATTTTATATCATTTTATATCATTTTATACATTGTTATTTTCATAACTTTTCATAGAATGTTTACAATTGCTAATTACATATTTTGTAACAAAATCCAAGTTCCTTCCAAAACTTTAAATAATAAGTATTATAACATTATTTTTATATTTACATATTTAAGAAACTTTCATTATACAACGTAAATCATTATGAATCATTAATTTCCAATAGTCAATCAACTTTTTTTAACTTTTGATATATAACAATTGTAACGTAATAAGTATGTTTGCACAAATTTGCTTAGATTACGCGTGAGTATTAATTTTTAGTAATTAAGGGACATAAATAATAGAATAATAGAAATTTTCTTTATTATTACATAATATTTTTAATATTATGTATATTTTTAATATAATGTATATTTTTTACTCACTTTATATGTCCTGTCGCATTTATATATGGCATCTTGATAAATCCTCCATCATTATCAATGACACCTTTATACCTCATGATCAAATTATATTTACCAGGATGTAGGGCAACAAGAAAATCCAAGACGACAATTTGCAGTTTGTGTATATAGATAATATTACGTGTTTCATACAGATTTATTTCTCCATCAAAAATATCGGTTAACATGCAACTAGTTATTTCTAAATTTGCTGAATGCAGCATTACATATTGTGTAGGTTTATAAATCATAATGGTAATATTACTTATTCCAGAGAAGATATCCTCTTCTGTATTTAATATTAAAGTAATTTTGTATCCTTTTGGTATTATAAAATCAGGCAAACGCAAGTTGACAGGTGTAACATGTACTATTGTAGACACTATGTAAGCGTGTGTATCGTTGGATGTAATTTTCATATTGATTTCTGTTACTTCTGATCTCCTAGTTCTCATTGTTTTTGATCTGTCTGATCGCTTGTTACTTATTTTGTGTTTGTCAAACACATTTTCTTTATGTTGGTAAAGAGCCGTAACGTAATTTAATATTAAATTTCCATACAGTAATAATTTTATTAATTCGACAATATTCATCTAAACGAATAACAAATTTTTCATTTGCAGTAATGTATTTTTTATAAGAAATAGAAATATGAAGTAAAATTATATTGAAATTATGTTAAATTATATCGAAATTTGACTTTTGCAAAAACAATAAAAGTGTAGTTATAGACTTTTTTATTGATAAATTTATGATCACAACATTACGAAAGTACAAAAATAACTGAAAAAGCCTGTCCTCGAAAGCAGGCTCTTAAGTTCTAAAATTCATATATTTGTATAAGTTAAATTCAAGTAATTAAATTATGAATCACGTGTCGTTATTTTTAGCGGAATTCCAACGTACTGATTCTCAAATTCAGTATGCAAATTATTGATGTCGAATAAAAGTTCCTTTCATTATCTACTACATCGAGAAAGAAATAGAATCATTTACTAGTTATGAGAACATATAATTTCGTTATTATATTAAATATTACATCACCACATCTATAATGAAGAGAAATGATACCTTAAGAAAGACATTTAACGTTAATGATAATTTGAAAAGAAGAATTGTATGTAAATTGCGTTTTGAAATATTTCTACATATTTAAAAAGATTATATTTATATAACAAAACGTATATAAATATTGTTCTATTGATTTAATTTATGTATTGAAATTGTGTAGGCTAATAGATATTTAAAATAGTCTATAAAATTTGTTCAAATTGTATTTACCGTTATAAGTGATAGAAAATAGTGTATTCTCTGAATCACGATCTTTCTGCTTCGACAATTCGTTACAAAGTAATAATGGTGCCAACAAACATCGATGCTTATAAAGGATATCATAATAAGTAGTGGGAGGTATAAATATAACATATCATTATTTATAACTAAATTTAGATTACAATTATTTCTTTGCTGTTATGTATTTAAATATGTATTATTAAAATTAATTTTAATACAGATTAACCTAATAATGAATAATAATGTATATAAATGTACATTGAAATATTTGTTTCAAAATTTATTAAATGTAAAAAGTTTTTAAAATGTTTTTTTACATAAATAAAGTATATTATTGAATGAATTAATCGTAATTATTAAGGTTTAATATTATTAAAAATATGTGTACGTTATAAGATTAAAAATATGTATTAAATAAACATTATATTTATTAGATGTATTTCCCTATTAAAAATATAAGCGACATCGCATATATCTTATATTTACTTTCATGAATTATATTATTGTATATTGGTAATAAAATGTTTCTATATGATGTGTATAAACGCATATACACATATATCAGATGTAAATTTTAATTTATAGACAATATGTAAATGTTCTTCAATACAAAATCTTTAATAATCTTTAATATTGTTAATAATAGATTCTATCATTTAAAAATTTATTTATACAGTCTTAAAATTTTACATCATTCAAAGCAAATAAATGTGGATATATTTCTGTTTATTTTTGCAGAGGTTCTAAAATTAAAACATATAAATAATAATAAAACGTAATCGATAAATTAAATTATTTAAGTTAAATTTATTTAAAAATAAAAGTCATTTTTACAAAAAATAAATAATAAATGATTATTTAAATTAACACTATATAGAATGATTATCTAAGGATAATTCAGATAATCAAATCATCTTGTTTATTGTATTCATAGAATTTCAAATATTATTGAATGCAGTGCTATTTATAATTTGTAATTTTGCACCAATTATCAATATTCATGCCTTTTTTACATAATTATTTTGTAGTTCTTTTTACAAAAGCACGATAATCAATTATATTATAAACAATAAGAGTAGTCAAAGATAAGACTATTGTGAAATTAGTAATATTTGACGTTTATTATATACATACATTTAATATACGTATAAAAATTTTATGCTTACCATAATATATTTTTAATAATTATTATGAAGTTAATTATACATAAGAATGATTTATAACAAAATTAATAATATATTTTAAAGTAATGTTAATATAAATATCAAAACTTTCTAATGATATCAGTTTGTTTTTTTTCTTTGAGATTGATTGTCGAACGTTATACAGAAATATCTACAAAAGAAGAAGCAAAAGAGGCGTGAATAGAGAGATGTATCCAAATTTTTATTAGAAAATGACAAATCCTGGATTGTATTCCGCCTTTCAGTACCTACCAGTACTGAAAATCTATAATATTTATACATTTGAGACAAATTACGAATATATTTTCAGTATTGGCGTAATATCAAAATGATACACAAAGCCGCATTAATCCATTGCAATCTTTTGTTATATAATCCATTAAAGACTAAAACGAGATGTCTCACATATGCCATCTAAAGCATCTACGTAGTGTTTGTCGAGGCGTATGTGTATTTTGTATTTTCAATTTTGTCAAGTAATGATTTGAGGGAGATTCTTACGTATCCATTCCTGTATCTGCAAAATTAAAATAGTCATGTTAAATATGCATACATTCTGCAAAATCATTAATTTTAGAAAGGGAAATTGTAATACGAAACATGATATTACATAATAATAAAGTTATAACTTGTATTTAACACATATATTAATTTAAATTCTTTTTTACAGGCTATCTAATAATTATTGACAGAGATCTTATATACAATATATTATACAAATAAAACCAATTTGTCGACAATAAATAAAAAATTTTTATCACCTCGCGAGTTTTGCAATTAATGAAAAGTTAGTAAA